AGTTCGATTTTCAGCACTCATAATCCCTATAACATGGTGTCACTGGGATTAAGGGATTATGGTAACGATAATTCTTTGATTTGAGCGTTCGACTCTTTATTCGAGTATCGGATGGACGCGGGCGTGGGACCATGTGACATAACCTTTGTTTAATATATCCGGTCAATTCATCCATCTCCCACTCCGCAATATCCAGTTAATTCATCCCACTCCGCCGCCCCTCTGCTCCTCCTGCCGCAGCTCCTGCACGCTCGCGGCCGCAGCTCCTGCTGCTCCTCCCGCGCCCACTGCTCTTGCAGCTGCTCCGAGCGTCCGCCCTGCTGCTCCGCGCACTCGTCCTTCTACTCCTGCTGTTGCTCCTGCTCCATCACCCGCTCCGCCCGACAACGCCGACAAGTGCCGCCAGCGCAAGGAGAAGCGCCGGACCTTGGCACGGATGCCCTCCGGCCTCGCCTCCTGGTATGGCTGATGCAGACGGCGGAGGAGGTTGCACTAGGATATGATACATGTTGCAAGTGTACATTTGAAATGTTTAAGGTGTTTTAGAGGTGTGTTTTAAGTGTTTCACATGGATGTTGGAAAAGTAGATCGGAATGTTTCATATGTTGCAATGGTTCTACACATGTTGCAAGCGTCTGTCCCTAATGTTTTATTTGTTTTTTGAGACGTATGTTGCAAGCATGTTTATTTAGATGTTGCATATGTTTTACACATATGTTCCAAGTGTTTTATTTAGATGTTGTGTATGTTTGCAATGGTTTTCAATTGTTTTTTCATGTGCTATAGATGCATATTTCGAATGTTTCATCTGCCTTTTTTGTATGTTGCAAGTGTTGTATCTGGATGTTTCAAAAGTAGATTGGGTATTGCACATGGGATGCACATGAGAAGCGGGAGGGGGCACGAGCGGTCCCCATGTAGGCGACGTTCGGGCGACACGGGCCTCCGTGTTGGCGTGGGTGATGCAGGCAAGGTCGAGCGATGCCTGGACGGCGCGGGCGGCGGGCCCACGCGTGGGCGCGCGAAACAAGGGGAAACCACTGCAGCCGCGGAGCGTCCGGACGGCACATCTAATGTCCATGAGCAAAAATATTGTCTAGCTAAACAAAATTATGATTCCTTTACAATGAATGATGATGAGCTTGTTCGTGATATGTATTCTCATTTGAATCTAATTATCAATGAGCTCCATTCAATAGGATTAACAAAGCTAGATGATGCGGACATCGTGAGGAAGATCATCTCCGTGCTACCACAAAAGAAATACACAAGCATCATCACCATCCTTCACAACATGGATGAATTGAGCACCATGACCCCGACCATAATCATTAGCAAGATAGTGGCATTTGAAATGTCACGCAAGTTGGGTCAAGAAGAAGCCTCTTCATCAAGCAAAGGCAAAGCTCTCGCATGTAGAAAGAAAAAGAAGATGAAGGGCAAGTAAGTTGAGACAAGCTCAAGCTCAAGCTCCTCAAGTGAAGATGAAGAAGAAGATGAGGATGAGGATGATGAAGAAGATTCAAGTGATGATGATCAATCTTCCTCCTCGATCTTCGATCTTGATGAAGAATCAATCAAACTTATCAATAAGGTAGAGAGGATAATCCAAAGGCTCAATGTCAAGGGTGTGCCCATCCAAATTCAAGATCTTATTTTCACCAATCAAAAAAATGAGCAAAGAAAGAAATGATGCTATGGATGCGACGAGAAGGGGTACTTTGTAGAAGTTTGTCCAAACAAGCCTACACCCAAGACAAGAAAAAGACGTGCAAGGACAAAGCCCTTACATCAATAAGATCATGGGATGATTCTTCAAGTGAAGAAGAAAACCATCACAAGAGGCGAGGCCATAGGCACTCATCGTCATGCTCTTCTCGTATGTGCCTTATGGCACAAGGTAACGAAAGCTCATTCTCTAGTGAGAGTGATAGTGATGATGAAATGCCTTCTTTTAATGAACTTGTGCAAGAAAATCTTAAATATGCTAAGACTTGCACTAGCCGACAAAAGAAGCTAAAAACATTGCAAGAAAAGCTAGATAGTTCACAAGAAGCATATAAAACTTTGCTTGACCAATATGAGACATTTGCTAATCTCAATATTGAACTATCTGTTAAAATTGAGCAACTTGAGGCTAGTGCAACAACAAATACATGCACAATCAATGATGAACAACTTATAAAGAAAAATGAAAAATTAAAAGAAAAGTTAGCTAGCTCACAAGATTCTTATAAAAGTTTGCTTGCTAAAATGGAAACCATGTGCAAACATTGTGATTAGCTAACTAATAAAGTTGCTAATCTTAAAGTCGTCGGTACAACCCTCACCAATGTATCTAAAAAGAAAAGTTCTATCTTTGACATGTCTAAAAAAGATGCCTCTACTTCTTGCAATGATTTATGTTTAGACTCACCCTTTTGCAATCAAGTTTGTATTGAGAAAGTTATTGTAGATACATGCACACAAGAGGTTGCAAAGAAGAATGAACAACTCAAGCAAGAAGTGACTCGCTTCACCAAGGACTTGACTCAAATGAAAGGCAAGAAGGAGCAAGCCCAACTTCATCAAGATAACACCGTCAAGGGAGTGAAGAAGCTTGATGAAGGACAAACCATGGTTTGCTACGTGTGCCACAAGGAATGTCACAAGTCATATAAGTGCAAGGTGAAGAATAGGAGAGGAGCTAAAAAGAAAGAGAAAAAGCAAATAAGCAAGCTCTCCAACGCCTACACCAACAAGGTGGACAAGAAGGCCTCCACACCATACTTGTTGAAGAAGAAGAAAAATGATAAGGTGGTGGCCATCAAGGTGAACAAGTAAGCCAACAATGGGGTCAAACGTTTTTGGGTGTCAAAGGAGATCATTTCCAACATGAAGAGCACCAAGAAGGTTTGGATCCCGAAAGGGAAGCGCATAGCCAAAGGCCCCGTTTACTTGTCTGAAAAAAGAAGCCAAAATACTGTTCCGGTTGATTGTTATAAGAGAAAAACACTGTTTCGGCTGAAAAAAGAAGCCGAACAAGTCAGATTTCAAGACAAGCGAACGGAGCAAAAACACTGTTCCAGCTGATTGTTGTGAGAGAAAAACACTATTCTGGCTGAAAAAAGAAGCCGAACAAGTCGGACTTTATGGTTGCCTAGTATCTTGGTAATAGAATTAAACTCTTTTCATCATATATAATCTCATTTCAATAATTGAATTACAGAATTTTTTCATGATTTTTTTTTGCGAATTACTCCCTCCGTCCGCCGAAGCCTCCAGGACCAGAAGTGCTCCTTTGGAGAACTAAACACCTGTTGTAACCGACAAGAGCGCACAATACTCCAAAGGGGAGATGGAAAACGAAGTCCCAATTCCAAGCATTCATACCCTGATGTTCAGATGCAAGATATCGTCTTTTTCTGCTCCAGATCTGATTGAGTAAGATATAGGTGCCGTTCGCTGGTCTAAGGCGACCAGCTAGCCGGCTGGTTCCCTCTCACGCCTTACTGTTCACCAAACCAGTCGAACAGTATTTTTCTCTCACAACAAACCAGTCAAAATAGTGTTTTTCAGTCAAGTTTCAGACCAGTGAACGGGGGCATAATGCACCGCATGGCCAAGAGCTCTCTTTGAATTTGAATGCTTCAATGCTGAATGATCGGAGCTGGATCATGTCGTGTTCCTCTGAGTTCTCCGTCAGCTCAACGGATTTGAGCCCTGAAACATTTACAATCAGAAGACGTCAGCAAAAGATGATTCGAGACAGTTCGGCTGATGGTTTCTGTGGCTAATAAGCTGGCTGAAGCTGTTTTGTTATTAAAGAAAAATACTGTACCATGACTGATATAAGTTCAAGTGAACAGGTTATCATTGAACAATCCAATTGCCTCAGTGAAAAATAGTAGTTCATCATTGCACAACTCAATTGCCTCAATGAAAATCAGAATTAAACAAAATTGCACATGCCAATGTCGCTGAAATTAAACAAATTTAACCAAACATATCTAGTTTCATCATTTTTTTAACAATCATTGTCGTAAACATGTTCTCTGTCAGCTCATATCAGGGAAGAGCAGATGGGCCGACGGCCGACGGCGGCACACACCTACAATGCTGCCACCCTGCTCACAAAAGAAGGCAGAGAGCAGCGTCGGCGCATGCCGGCCTACTCGACGAGAGCAGTAGTGGCTGACGATGGCGCATGCCTGCGAGCCTACCTCCCTGCTGCTCATGGAGGATAGGGTGTGGTGGTGGCGAATAGCTACGTTCGCTTCGCTTATAAATCGTTTTTTTTATCAACAAATAATATTTTTTCTCATAACAAATTAGTCAGGACAAAACCATACCTATGCCACGAAAAGTACTGTTGTAGTGACTAAAAGTACTGTTGTAGTGGTCGATAAATTGAGATCCTATCCTCTATCCTATCCAGTTCAAAAGAAGACTGGACCACCTTTATCTAGCTTTATAGAAAGAGAAACCAAATCCATACCTATGCCTCGTTCACAAAAATTTGAGCTTTCTAGTTTACAACTACTAATCAAGCCATCTCCACCAGTTTCTTCATCACCCGTTCCCTGGCACCGAAAAGGCCAAGGCAGGAAACTAGTCACAAAAACATTATCACAACAATAATCTCCAAGCACCACAATATCTGGCACAACATAAAGCATGATTGATTATTCAGTTTTGCGACAGACACCCATACAATATCCTGAGGCTGAAGGAGAAATGAAACAAGAACAACTCATCATCCACATAATCTATAGAATTCGACGAATTAGCATAGCATGCAGACGAATTCATCCATACAACTACCATGCGATTTCCTTACGGCAGAGCTCCACAGCACCACTCATTGCTACTGCTAATACAACCGGGCTAAACTACTGGAGGACAGGCGGTCAGGCTTCACATGTAAAAACTACCATGAGAAGCTACAACCTGTACACATCAAGAACCACGGAACTGTACAGAATGGAAGCATCTGATCATCCTGAAGATAATCATGCATCTCATCTTCCTGAAGAGACCAAGGACCTCTCCTCGGACCCCAGCCTGACCAAAGGCTTTGTGGCCGCAGGAAGCTTTGCAGGCTCGGGAGCAATGACCTCCCCAGGAGCATCTCCCCTGGGAATCAGTTCTGGCTCCTTGGTGTAGGTGAACTGCAGGTCCTTGTTTGCGGCCAAGGCTAATAACTCCGATTCCTCTAGCCCCCTGGTTGGACCAAGGTTAGATCTATCTGGCTTGTGCTTCGCAAGTGCATCCTTGAACTTCTTAATCTGCATACGGAAACAACACTCCAATCAGTCCTGATGGGTGACCACAGCCAACAGCACTCCCAAGTATAGCTAAAATTGTATAATAGCCAGGAAATCAATCACATAACATCCAGTTGGGTTTGTGAGGGAAAATGTTTCTATCCAATCAGTAAAGGTTGCAATATTGCATGAACTGCTAGGGGAACTTAAAATGGCCATCCTTTGCCAGTCAAATTCAACTTAAAAGGCCATTCTTTGCATGTTATATTCTGCAAGTATCAAAACAATCTTAACATTTGAGTCCAAAACTAAAGTTGGGTTGTCAAGCTCTACCCGAATTCACAACTTTAAACGGCCATCCTTTGCCAGTCAAATTCAACCTAAAAGGCCATTCTTTGCTACTTATATTCTGCAAGTATCGGAACAAACTTAACATTTGAGTCCAAACTCCAAAGCTAAAGTTGGGTTGTCAACAAGCTCTACCCGAATTCACAAACTTTTTCCGACTCCCTACATTTAGCTCCAAGAGGGTGACTGTAATTCCGTAGTGTTAATAAAGATCGTTTGGGGCATGCTGCATGTTATAGAGGACATAGCAATAATCATATGAACAGAAGAAACATGAATAGCTAATCGGATCAGGATCTTACTGTTGCGTTTGTACAACTGAAGCTGCAGAGTCGTCCCTGTGCTCCCCTGTAGAATCTGAAGAAGGGTAGGACATGGACATGAAGGCTGTAGCACATAGACTTGTGCTCCTCGTAGTTCACTTGCAAGAACAGCACATCTGGGTTCTGCTCCGCAAATTGACAAATCTGCACGAGATAGATTCATCAGAAAACCCCCTCTCAAAAGTTCTCGGATATATGAAGAATATCATGCAACAGTGAATTCGGTATCCTCTTTGCCCCTCACCTTCGGGTGAAGAGCACGGCAGCCGCCGCAGCCAGGGGAGAAAAAGTCGACGATGACGAGCTTGTCGCCGGCGTTGGTCAAGGAATCGACAAGGTCTTGGGCGGACTCGATCTCACGCATGTTGGGCTGCAACCCCTTCTCCCACCACCTCATGGATTTCCCAATCGCAAGGTTCATGTTCATCTGAGTAACCGGACAAACAAAAATCAGATCATATTAGTGAAAATCTTAACGTTTTCTTTTTTATTCCTAAACAAAAGCTCGCGAATCAAAGATTTTATTTTTGGATGGTCAAACGGACTAGAAACTACTAAAAGTAAACCTAAGGAAAAGAATATTAAAATTGATTTTAGGAAGGTATGAAAACTAAATTGATCGCAAAAACTTCGAAGAAAAAAATAACGATACACGTGAAAGGAACGCATGATAACTAGTACTCCTGAATCTATATTCACCTGCGCCGGCGACGCGAATAGACTCCGGGACGAGGGCCTGGATCTCCTCGTCCCTAAGGCTACCCTCCCGCCAGGAAACGCGGTCTTCCTCCAGGAGCCCCCGATCCGCACCGCCGACGGCGCCATCCGCGCTGCCACGGCACCCCTCCGCCTGCCAAGGAGGCCCGACGCCGCTCGATTGCCGCACGGCGACACCACGCTCCCCTTCGCGACCGTCTGCGCTGCCGCCATCGCCAAACCGCGCTCGAAAGAAGAAGGATGAAGAGCTCGCGAGGAGACAGAGAGAGAACACGGCGCAAGAGAGGAGAGGGATGGAAGATTGCGGAAGAGGTGAAGAAAAGTAGCTCCTTTTAAAAAGGAGGCCCACGGATAAAGGCAAACCGGATTACCGGAGCGAAAAATCGCCGCGTATTTCCTTTTAATTTAATTTATATTTTAATCTTCCAGGTAACTATCTCTCCGACCCTAACGAGAACTACTGACGGCCGTCCGATGCGCCTCACAGCCTTCCTTTGCTAGCCACGTGGACTGCAAACTCTGGAATTTTCTCCCTCACTGGTTGTAAGAAATTCCGGAATGGATATATTCTGGATAAGAATAAGAAACGGTTGTGGGGCTCACATGTCACGCGGCGGCCGTTGGGATCGGGAGGCGCGCGTGGTGCGCGTAGCTCCGCGGGGACTCGTGGCAGAAATGTTAATCTTTTGGTCAAGGGTGTGGAGGTGGGCCACAGTAGCAGAGAGAGGAAGTGACACGTATTGATCACACGTGAGGTCACCTGTCTGCAGGCCGGGCCCTGGATGCGGGCAAGCGGGGCGGCCTCCCTGGCCCCCAACTATGTAGGGCCCCACACAAGTATGCAAACACCAAGTATATTAGTATTTGGCCCAGTAATAAACGTTGCCGGCCTACAAGTTCTGGCGTCCGCGAGAAGAATGGTGTCTGTATTAAAAAAAACAGAAAGAAAGAACTAGCGTCCGCGAGAAGCCACACGCACATGCCGCCACGCGACTCGACTCCTCTTCCACGGCGACGACGCGGTCTGCGGTCACGCGGACCGGCGGGCGGACGCGACACGCACAGCGGCGACGACCGGCGATGTGAGACGCGAGGGCGCGGCTGTTGCGCCTGCGCGACGGTGCGAGGCGAGACCGCGAGACGCTGGACTCGACACCACGCGACGCACGCGCTACGATCTCCGCGACTCCGCCCGACCCAGACGAGCGACGACGAATCGACGATCGGCGGTGAGCCACACGCCCACACTGAGCCAACAACGCGAGTAGATGAGTTACTTTTTTTAGCTAATTGTTTCTCTAAATCTTAACAGCATCATGTCATCAAGAAAGTATGCTTCCGGCAGTGAGAAAAGAAAAAAGAAAGCACGAATAGATGAGTTCATACAATCACAGAGGGGTTCTATGCATAAGTTTTTTAAGAATAATCCAAACACTTCAAGAGATTCAAACGAGTTGGCGATAGTTGTCTGAAAGGAACCAACACAGATTATTCCAGAAGATAAAGGTCCGCCTGATAACAATGTTGGCATTAACATGGAAGAAAACAATGTGAGTATTGATGAGCACGTATTTAATTCAAATACTACAGAAAATAGTAGTCTTGATGAGGAACCGGTGTGTCACATGGATATTTATGATCCAAGAAATTAGGATAATCTTGATAACAAAGCAAGGGATATATTAGTTGAAAAGAGGCCTATAAGAGAAGATAATATTGGATTCCCTTTTGACGATAATTTAAGGCATTTTGCATATTCTCATTATCATAGAAAAATGAGTAATGGAGAGCTACGTGACAGGAAATGGCTAGTTTATTCCAAACACTTGGATAAAGTATTTTGCTTTTGCTGTAAGCTTTTTAATTTTAAAAAGTGCAAGAGTTCATTGGGGGATGATGGGTATAGAGATTGGAAACATATCAATGAGAGGCTGAAGGAACATGAAATTACTGTTGAGCGTATTACCAATATGAACTCATGGAATGAATTGAGAACTAGATTAGGCAAACAAGCGACAATTGATAAAGAGTTACAGTAGCAAATCTCCAAGGAGAAAGAGCACAAAAGGCAAGTACTGATGAGAATAGTTGCCATTGTAAAATTCCTTGGTAGACGTAATTTGGCTTTTAGATGATCTAATGAGCAGCTTTATAATGATCAAAATGGCAATTTCTTAGCTTGGGTTGAGATGGTCGCAGTGTTTGATTTGGTAATGCAAGACCATCTTAGACGTATTCAAAATAATGATCTTCATTATCATTATCTTAGCCACAAAATTCAGAATGAGTTGATTTCTCTTATGGCTTCTGACATTACAAATTCTATCATCAAGATTGTTAAAGAGGCTAAATATTTCTCAGTTATTCTTGATTGCACCACAGATGTTAGTCATCAAGAACAAATGACTTCGTTGGTTCGATGTGTTAACATGAGTGAAGGTAAAATTAAAATAGAGGAGTACTTTCTTGGTTTCCTGAAGGTAGATGACATATCTAGTTCTAGGCTCTTCAATGTTTTGGTTGATTCCATTAAGTCCTTTGGTCTTAATATTGATGACATTAGGTGGACAAGGTTATGATAATGGTTCTAATATAAATGGAAAACACAAGGGGGTTCAAAGTCGATTGTGTGATATAAATCCAAGAGCTTTGTATATGCCATGTGCTTGCCACAGTCTTAATCTTACTCTTTGTGATATGGCTAAGTCTTGTAGCAAAGCTTACTCCTTTTTTGGAATTGTGCAACGGATATATGTCTTATTTGTTGGTTCTACTAAAAGATGGAATTTTTTGCTTGATCATGTTGATGGTTTAACTATGAAATCTTTGTGCAACACATGTTGGGAGAGTCATATTAAAAGTGTTGCAGCAATTAGATATCAAGCTCCTCAGCTAAAGGCAGCTTTACTTGCATTGAGTGAAGATAGAGATGTAGAACCAAAGGATACAAGTGATGCAAAGAATTTATTTGAAGTACTTGTATCGACAAAAGATGCTCGGCAGTTGTCGGATACTATAAAAAGGGGTACCCTAAGCAAGAACCAAAAAGATCGCTTAAAACCTCGCAAATATCAAAGCCAAAGGACAATCACAGGGTCTCGGCCGATTCTCTGACTTGCCCGAAGCCCACGTCGCAACGACTCTCCGCCTCGTCGAGGCCCTCTCGCCGAGGCCCTCTCGTGCCGAGGCCCAGCTCCGCAAGGCCTCGGACGGGTTACCAATTCTCCGATTCACCCGAGGCCCCGCAAGTGAAGCCTCGGACAAAGTACCGATTCTCCGACTCGCTCAAAGCCGGCTCGGCAACAACCTCGTCGCCTCCGCCTCGACCGACTTCTTTGACAAAACGTCATGCGTCCAACCACTCCCGCGATGTCAGCCGCACGTGGGCGCAGTAAAGCAGGGTGGCCGACGAGACGTGAGACAGGACGGAACAGGGGTTACCGGCCACTGTACTCAGCACTGCACCCATGCCTGGCACCCGTACTACACTGTGGTACCTAATTCCTGCTCTAGGAGCAGCATGGCGTGGGGAAGCAGGCACGGGTCACTGTAGCCTCGGAATCGGTGCATGAGATCAACTGCTCCCTCTAAGGCCTCGGTAATCCACTTCAAGGTCTCGGCAGCCTTGGGATTCGCACCCACCGAGTTCCCCATGATGGCTCGGCCTCAGCACCAACTGAGCCTCGGCTCTTTCCACCGTCAACCCATAGCGACCAGCACATTGTCGATCATGCCCTGCGTCAAGCTGTCACTGGAGCGCCCACGTCATACGAGATCGGGTGCGACCAGCGCGTTGCTCCAGTGCATCAAGGATAAGACCACTCCGTTGACCATGCCGCTACAGTAGTAAGCTACAGGACTCTGGCACGCCACCTCCGCTCACCGCATGGCGAACACATGCATCACCCATATCCCTCCTTCAACTATAAAAGGGGAGACCGGGGCCGTTCTTAGAAAAAGAGGCACTCACGAGCTCACCGAGAGGGGCTCACGTAGACACACACTCTCCCAAGCTACCTGAGAGCAACATCTCAAGCAGCCCGCACCGCTCCACGCCGAGACCTAGGACCCATTCCCTCTCTCACCCAGCTTGTAACCCCCTACTATAAGCACTTCGGTGCAAGGAATACAAGATCAATCTCTCAGACTGGACGTAGGGCATTGATTGTCTGAACCAGTATAAACCTTGTGTCTCTTTGCATCACCATCCGGGATTAGGGGCACACAGTTCACATTTACTAGTTGGTTGAGGACCCCCCGGTCCGAAACACCGACAACAGTCCTCCGAGGGGTATCCCACGAAGGTAGATTGATCGATGGAGGTGCGCGTGATAGGAACCGGATGGTGACACAAGGCGCAGAGACAGCGATTGAGACAGGTTCGGGCCATCTGATCGACGTAATACCCTACGTCCTGTGTCTTTGTTGTATTGTATTAAATATGGGATGTATGTAGATATCGACTAGGGGACCCCTGCCTCTCCTTATATACTCTGGAGGGGTAGGGTTACAAGGAAAGTATCATATTTGGTATTATACAATATCTTGCGTGCACGTCGACTAGTGCCGTGCACGCCTTGATCTTGTGGGCTGGGCCACCTCTGATGGTGCGGCCCATGTCTTGTCTTATGGATACCGGGGGTCATATCCCCACAACTTGGCAGCTTTGAATTTATATTTGGCATGGTTATTTGGCATGATGTTTTATTTGCTGTCAATAAAGTAAGCAAGAAGTTGCAGTCACCATCTATGTGCATTGAGTCTACCATGCAGCAGCTACAAGGCATAATGGATTACTTTAAAACCTATAGAAATGATGGGTATGCTTCTAGTAAGGTCAATGCAACAGAAATTGCATCTGAAATGGGTGTCGAGCCGTCGTTCCCAGTAAAGCGTCGTGCTCTTAGAAAGAAACATTTTGATAAAAATAATAGTGAGGAAGCACTCTTGGAAGGTGAGAAGGAATTTAAAGTTAGTTACTTGGCGGTTATAATTGATATGGCAGTCCGTTCATTGGAGACTAGATTTCAAGAATTGGAATCATTCAGAGAATTATTTGGATTTTTAATGAGTTCAGCAAACTTGAAGGCATTGGATGGTCCTGAGCAAAAAGTGTGTTGCACAACACTAGCAGCAGTTTTCTCTCTAAATGGTTCATCTGACATTGATTTAAATGATCTAATTTCCGAGTTGAGTGTTCTACAATCCACTTTGCCGGATACACCAATGACAGCTATGGAGATTTTTTAGTTCGTTACAAAGACTGATTATTATCCTAATGCTTCCATTGCTTATCGGATCTTATTTACTATGCCTGTGACTGTGGCATCAGTTGAAAGAAGCTTCTCAAAACTAAAATTGTTGAAGAACTATTTGAGATCTACAATGTCTCAAGAGAGGTTAAATGGTTTGGCAACATTATGCATTGAGAAGCGATTGTTGGATGAGACTGATATTGATACCATCATCAATGACTTCGTATCGAGGAATGTTAGAAGGGATTTTTAAGGTAATTTAATATAAGAATTTTTAAGGTAATTTAATATTTATGAATTGTTTCATATCAATATTGCTATTGCATCCGCAGTTAAGTGTTTATATATATGTATTTACATTTAATACTTTCAATGTCATGTATGTATAAAGGGCCCGGATTGTAGTTTCGCCCTAGGCCTCAAAAAAATCAGGGCCGGCCCTGCCTGTCTGGATAAAGAACAGAAAAAGAAAGATATTATAGGATGTTGATACTGTTTGTTCATGAGATAAAATACTTTTATAGATAACTTTTTATTATAGAATGACATCTATTAGTTAGTACTCTTTAAACTCCTCATAAAAAGATTATTTAAATTGTTTGTACACAACTCAATCAGCGCGGCCGTGTTCATCGGTCCAACTTATCAACTTTATGGGAAGAGAGAGAGTAGGAATAGGGGGGAAGAATAAGGGGCTTCTATGTCTAGGGTTTAGAAAATAGAAATGAGAGTCCCCATCTAACGGGACTAAATAGGGGCTTGAATAGTTTTTTTATATGTTTGAGCTCTTAAAATAGGATGAGGACAACGATGTTAAAACCGTGCCTCCCTTAATTTAACCGTGTCATATGAGCTAAAACTTCTCTTCTATATTAAAATGTGAAGTCCCATTTATCCCCTAAACTTCGCTGAATTTAAAAACAATTTTGAATTCCAGACAACGTGCCCTTCTTAACTCACTCTGGAGATGGATGGAGTCACTGCATACAGGGCGCCGCGTCATTGACTCCTCCAGCCACCATGCAAACATCTCCCAGCTCAGGGACGCCAGAGACCTGATTCTCTGTGACGGCAGGCAGCTAGCAGTCATTGGCCTTTAAACAAAAATATGGAGTAACAGCTCGATCTGCAGCTTAAAACCTCCAATGTCCGTTTTCACCTAGTAAATTTTTCAATAATCTGCAAATTGAAATGTACAATGTTCTTTTTCAACAAAAATTACACCATGGGAGGAACCAATCAGCCTAATGTGTAATGTCAAACAGGTTGCACTAACAACAGTCAACAGATACCCTCAACCTCTGATTGTCACTTTCCAGTTCCTACCAACTTCTGAAATCTGTCAAAATCTGGAAATAAAAATGTGTCCTGCTTTAGGAAGCTTTGTTAGCAGCAGGATTTCTTCCAAATTGTATGATCATTGGTTTTCCTTTGAACACATAGCCATGCGCTAGATTCTGCAAAACCATAAATGAGATATTTTTAAGCACTTATGGTTCTCATGGAATCGATAACGAAGAGTCATGTAAACAGCTAAAATTATATAGAATACTCCTTGGGTGGCAAAGGAAGATGATGTGTGCTCTTAAGACAAATCATGCAATCTCTTGATTTTCTTTTTGGCTTTTTGCAACATCTAGCTGTCTAATGCGCTCAGGTTGTCGAACATGTTTGGTTTCTTACGAAACCGCGCCGTCTGCCACAACTCCGACACCGCAGTTTTGAAAGTGTTTGGTTTGTCGCCAGAGTTAAGGCGCCCCCACAATTCGCCAACGCTATTCAAGTCATTTTTTACGCCAAACCTCGCCGAAACTGTGGCGAGCGATTTGATCGCCAAACTTTTGGCGCGGCCGCGACTTCGGCACGGCATCCGTAGGCGGCGACCAAACAGAGCCATAGTCCCAAAATTAGATAAATTAGCAATGACCTCATACTGTGCAACATTACAAACAAGACATCATATCAATAACAAAATCACTAACCAGGGCACGTTGAGCAAGTTCAACCGTGGGAAATGTGACAAAGGCTTGGCCACGCATCCGTCCTTCCTACAACAGGATTAAAGAAAAAAAAAGACAATGAGGAGCACAGTGGCACCAAAAAGCAGAACTTGACAGTAACCAATGACAGCAGCTTTCCAAATAATTTTCACTATGAAAAGTAGCTTGTAGATTTTTGTCAAAACAAGTATATTTTTGGATAACTTTAAGGGACTAAGTCGATAACATACCTGCATTAATTTTATACTTAGACCCAACCTTGCACTGTCCATGCTTTCAAATACAGAGCCTGAAGAGAGAAGTTAAAAAAGAATACCTTAGTGACAAATTGAGAAAATACTGCAGTGAATGAAGAAATCTTTCTTCGATACTCCTCGTTTGGAAAAAAAAAGTATTAACAACGATGCAAATACAGGATATGCGACAAAACAATACAGGTTAAAAAAAATGCAGCATCGTCTAGCTCTTTGTTACGCATGATGATGTTTAGAATCTTAAGCACAAATGCAGTTAACATGAAAGCATGTTGACTGAATTAAACCATAGTTCTGATGATGGTGCATGCTTGCAGCCAGCTCTTTCATTCATAGCAGCAAATGATGAAGAACCATTTACTAAGCCAAGGAGCACACAAGCATGGTCATTGATTCCTAGGTAACAGATCTTTGACCTAGCCTATCTGCACAACCTCATAGCACATCTTAATCCCCTCAGCAATACATAAAACTCAGTCATTAAATTTAAGGTATGCCTACAGTCAACAGACAAGATTGCTCAGATTCCTACTGGGCCTGAGTTGCACAAGTTGGAATAAATCTCAACCTTATCAGTTAATCATTATATTTACAAACCCTTTCAAGGTAACGATTAGATCCCTAAAATTTTTCATCTGGAACAAATAACAAAGCAAGGCCCTGAAAAGACTCGGTCTCTGACAGCCTTACCAAAGACATAGTAGAAGTCATCATGAGTGACATCCTTTGCCAAGTTCTTAATGTACAAAACACTGGCAGGATTTCCTGGAGTGTAATTCTGCAAAATAGCATAATATTTGAAGTTGATTCAGCGGCCAGTAAACAACTTATGACCTAAGGAAATATAAATGTTGCTTTACGTATCAACATCCTTTATTCTTTGAAATTTCGGACTACCATCATCAAGATCAAGGGGAAGGAAACAACTAACCAACTGATGATACATTCATAATAATCACTTAATTCACAAATATATATGTTGCCAGGATTGTCCATTAATAGGATGCTTGGTTTGAGTAATCACTCCATTCTAGAAGAGGTGGTGCATCATGAGTCCATTCCTCAAATTTGGTGGAATGACTCCATTCCTCATACTAGTACTAATTGTTAGCTTGTGAGGAATGAGATGATGATGGATCAATCAATCCATTCCACAAACCAAACAAAAAAGTGAGGAATGGAAAGATGACGGACTAACTCATTCGTCAAACCAAACACCCTATAAATATCTGTGCAAATGACATGGTAGTACTACATAAGCAATGTGTACCTTGAACATAGGAAGGGATAAAATCTCCTCTGGTGGTAATTTCTCTCTCGACATTTCCTGAGGTGTGACAAAATGTTTCTCTTGAAGTTGTTCATGAGTTGAATCAGGTTCATTTTCAGTCATACTTTGGACAGGTGGTTCCTTCTGTATAGGCTTAGCGGCAATTTTTATCTGAAGAGAACCATTGCATCAGCAAAAAAGATAAGACACTTGACTTTTCAGCCAATGAGTAATAATCAATAAACAAAGAGTAGTTAACCTGAAGTACTGGGTTTTTCTTTTTGATCACTTGAAGCTCATTAGAAACCAATGCAACAGGTTTCACTCCCACTGCTTCATGAGCAACACTTTTATCAACGGCAGGACCAACAATTGCTTCATTCTTTGCACGTTTGCTTTTCCGTTTATCAATATCTTCCTGCGATGGATAAAACATGCATGAATGATTTAATAAAGACACTACAAGGTTAAACTGGAAACACAGAAGTAGCAAGTACATCAGATGATTCTAACTCAGACTCATCACTAGACAAATCAGCCGTATGAAGCTCCCCGGTGGTAGTAGATTGCGGTAGTGGCTGAGGATGAGGGGTAACAGGCACTTGCGATGGTAGCGGTGGAGTAGGCAATGCCATCCGAAATGGAGCAGGAAGGTTCATCTTGTTCATTAAATGCAGGACCTGTTTGAAGAAAAATGATTTGATCAAAATGCTTCTATACACGCAGAATACGAAAAAAATAGGCAGAGGCATGCCTTGCAAGTTGTAACAATGGGTGCATAGGGTGGAAATCCTAATAAACCTGGTTATAGAATCGAGGGACGGCAATCAGGGCATTGACAATATTTGTCAATATGTTTCCATCTGGTGGTGGATATGCATACCTAAAAATTGTAGGGCACTCAAATCAAGCTCAAGAAAGTGACGTGTATTAGGATTGCCAACAGTAGAAAAGGCTTCAGCATAGAATGGCAGTCAACAGGTGCCTGATTGCAAAACTTTGCAACATAGTAATAGAAGTGAATCAACTAAGTCAGCATACAGTAGCATAGAATTGATGCTAGTTTGATTTTGGTTACTTTCCAGAAAAATGATAAATGCGAATGGACCATATAGACTTTGCATGATAGCACATAGGCCTTAGACTGAGGAATATTGTTTCAAATAAATTCAACTAGTTCACAATCTGACATAGATAACTCAACCCATAAATCTCAACAACCCAAGAATTCTGTTGAGAGAGAAAGATTCATGATTAGCAAAAAGAATTATGTGTAGGAATATGCGGGTAAGCTGTCTTAAATTTTTTAGGAATCTAAATTCTCAGTAGCAGACAGCAAGTCAATCTCTTAACTACTAAATGAATGTCTGTTGAGAACAATAATATATCATTGCAGGACAAGTAATCACAAGAGCTAAGAAACAGCTAAGTATCTTGATGCGAGTATCAAAAGATAATGAAGTGAAATAATTATGCTGTGAACTAATAACATACTCAAGGTGCGGAGGGAATGGATAGTCCACACCAAGCTTGGGGGCAATTGGTTCAGCAGTCGATGTGTGATCCTTCTGGTTTTGGGAACTAATACTTGGTACCTGGGACGCCCCATGCACTAATTGGTCCTGATGCTTCAGGTGAGAATCATTTGCATTTGGACGGTTAGCTCGCTCGACAGTCAACACTTTCCCCAGAAACCTCAACCTGCAAAGCCAACCCTTAGCGAACAAGGCAATGCTTGACATATGAGTTGAGAAGAGCACAATGGGGCATTTGAAATGAGAAGACGTGGTTAGTTCATGCAGCTAAGAAAGGGAGTCTAAGTAACCTAACAGATCGCGTGATTGACGAAGCAAACCTGTTCAAGAGCGAATGTGCGTGACTGGCTGCCGCCTCATCCCTAAAATCTACGAATGCACAATTCCTCAACCTGAAACAGACCAACAAAATGGTTTTAGAAACTAAACAAACATAATATTCCTCAGCCAGCAACAGACCAACAAAATGGTTTTAGCAACAAAATAACATAGGAGACAGCTCGGTATACATACTTGACCAAATATAAATGAGACATATCTATGACACACTAGGCCATTCCAGCAATCACCTAAGCAGTTATACTAGATACAACCACGCGCTACTGTAACTAATTCAACATGTGAAACACCAATCGAAGGGTAATTAAGCAAGCGACAAGATGAGAGAAGTACTTTCCACCGGAACAGGGGCGGACGGATGTGGCGCCGTAGTGGGAGAAGAGGCGGGATAACATCTCCTGCGTGATAGCCTCTGGGAGGTGCCGCACCAGCAGCGTCGCCGCCCCCGCTGGAGCGGGCCCCTGCTGCTGCTGCTGGTGCAGAGGCGGAGGAGTTGCCGGGTAGGGTGTTGTCGGGGGAGGAGGTAGCGTGTGCGGTGGCGGCGGGAAGGACGCCATCGGAGTTGACGTCGGTGACTTCACGACACTGTATTGGAGTGGGGTTGTTGCCGGGGCGGGGCACTCCGGTCGGGGGCTCAAGCGCCGGTTCTGGCGTAAGGAATTCGGGCGCTCCTTGTAGGTGGTGTTCGTGGATGGCGGCCAGCTCCTTGGCCAGAGGGCCACCTCGGTGCTCGGGCGGCGGCCGGGGGCGGCGGTCGCCGGTCCGGAGTCGCGGACTCTCGCGCAGATTCCCCGGTCGGGGGGTTGCGGTGGCTCGGTTGCTTCGGACGAGTGAATGGTGCCGTTTGGGCCAAATTTCTTGTGGGCTACGAAGTAGTAAACTTTTTTTTGGGCCGGATTCCAGAGTCCTTGCGTCTATCTGGACTATCCGCTGGGCCCGCCACTGGCTGTGGCTCGACGGCAGGCAGGCGAAGGCGGCGAGGCGCCGTGTTCTGGCCCGGACCGGAGGCGGAAGGGGGAGCCTCCAGACAACTGGTGTATATGGGGCTACGGGCAGTTGTCGATGTGAGGAAATGATGCGCTTGTTGGTGGCCCGCCTATCACGTGGCCATTGTGATCTGCAGGCCGGGTTGGATCGAGTCTTCTATTCACCCAATGCACGACCGTCAATTCGGCAGGAAAGCCCTCTGGGCTCTGGCGGCGAGGTGCAAAACGTCCCGACGGCCCATTGAGCGCAGGGTCTATTCATAGGCTGGAAGCTGGGCTCAAGTGGTCTAGGATGCGGAGAGGCCGTGGTGGACTTCGGGGCTCGATGCCTCGATCCGTCGGCCAGGTTTATTGTCCGATTGAGCTAGTATGCGGTATGTATGCGCTTAATTTTTCGCCGACAAGAGGATGCTGAGCGATCTGCATTCAAGTTACTGCAACATTTGGAAGAGTCGTTGTATTTTTCCTTCCCTCCCCCATCATGGTTGGAACTGTACGTTGATGCATGGCTTTGGGACACACCGTCTCTTTTACAGAATGCATGAAAACGGGAAATGGGCGACCGAGGCCACAGCCGGGCGACGATCGAGCCGATCGTCGATACAGTTGGACGAAAGATGGAACCCTAGTTAAAAAATCCGTCATTGTCAACATCCTATTCTGGAACACTACGCTGGTCGCACTGGTAGTACTTGTACATCTGTCACATGTGAAATGACGCGACCACAACGCGTAGCGTAGCGTAGCGATCGTCAGCCCCCACCGTACAGTAAACCGTGTGCACGTCCCCGGCCGGTCCTCCTGGACGTCTGATCGATTTCGGCCCTGTTCGTTCTTTATCGTCCTGTTGCGTTTCAATGAAATAACAATAAAAAGCATCACGTGAATCAAATCTCAATCATTTTTCAAGCCATTTTAACAGGGCCTTCGATTATAAATGAGTGAAAAGGAAAACGCCTACTGAAAGCGCGCTCCCTGATAATAAATAGACGTGTGGTGTGGAGTACACGATCGGGGAGAATTAAATGGGTAGCAGCGCGTCAGTGCCGCCAATTTGACAAAGAGCATGGAGCCCGGGCCCGGGGGTTCAGCTAGATCGAGTACAGAGGAACCGATGCCCGTCTCTCTATCGTCTTCTCCCGGCTCCCGGCTCGTGTCGCCGTCTCCGCTCCAGAACGAACGAGCACCCATTCCAGCGAGCGTATCGGAGGTCAACGGTCTCGCTCCGCGGCTCCGACGACCCGGCACTGTGGTTTCAGCTTGTTGCATGCGTTTGTCAAGCTGGCCACCATGGCCGGACGGCAGGCAAGGCAACTCATGCCCTCCGCGTTGTGGCCATTAGCCCACTATACCTTGGATGGAACAGCGAGTCAGCGACCGGCCGCCGGGACGCGCAAACGCGGACGGCGGACGCGAGGGTCATCGCGTCAGGTGGCGCGCACCGATCGAGTACAACGCAAGCTGCGAACCGCAGGGGCTGCCGGCCAGGACGTGGGGGCTGCGCTGGCTCCGGTTGGATTCAGATCGCACCGCCGGCCGGGCCCTCGCGTACCTGTACCTGTACAGGCAACCGGGCCGGGCCTTCGTTTGCAAAATTTTCCAGCCTGAGCCGTCGTCGACTAGTCCTTGATAAAATTAAGGCCTGTTTGGTATGGCTCTGGAGCTGAACTTTAGTAACTCCAGTCAATTTTTCAGTCCAAACACCTCAACTCCAAAACTCTATGGAGCTGCCAACTCTATGGAGCTGTAGTGTAAATGAAGGTTCGTTTTGCAAATTTTCCCAGCCTGACCCGTCGTCACCTAAAGCTAGTCCTTGGGTAGAAAACACCGAAGTTAAAGCTCTGAGTTGGAGCTAAAGCTCGGACTAGACCCGGCGCTGCCTTCTATGTTTGGACGTTGAACCGTGTCAAAACTCAAGAGTACGTGGCCTGCTTTAGTTTATTCGGTTCATAACTGCGGGAAGGAGCTCATTTGAGAATTGCCTTCGCTCCACGAACGGGAGCTGCTGGTTGCGATGATAAACTAGTGCGGGCTCCCGGGCCCATTTCGGGGAAGTCACTGCACAGAAGAGAAGTCGCTATTCGCTAACGGCGCATGCAGCAAATGGGCAACTCTTTGAGTGACTCATCTAAACACCTTCTAAGCTTTGTCCATCCGCAGCCGTGCTTGGTGTCTAATCTCAAACTAATCGAACGTTAATCTGACACTCTTCCACTCTCTAGGAATAAATAAGTATAACATACTGCTAACGAACTTTCTGGAGGAGAAACATGTCGTACCAGATATATATAGTGTATGTAAACAGCAGCTTATTGGGCCTAAACCCACACGCTGTCGGAAAAACATCTAGCTAGCTAGCCCTCGCTTCTAAAACTCTCAGAACCGCCGCAACGCGCAATTACAAAACGTGTCGTAATAGCCGCCATCCTGCTGGGCGTCGCAACTGTACGTTGGCCACGACGACAGCGACGACGACCGGGCGGACGACGTCGCCGTCGGAGTTCCCAAGTGTCACGGCATACTCAACGGGCCGGGGCACACCTGGCAGCTCCGCGCTCTCTGCGACGCGACGCAAGTACGCAACCACACGCCGGAGCCCGAGCTTCTTGGACGAGACGAGACGAAGAAAAAGGGCAGACATAATCAAACCAAACATGGTAGAGTACAGAAGAGAAATCGCGGATCCGGTTTCCTCGTGAGTCGTGACTCATAGCTCGGGCGACTGGTTGAACTTTGGAGAGGACAAAACGTAGTGCTACTACTCCTCCTTCCTCCGTCCAATGTAATTCTCGTTTTTTGATAAATCAAATAGTTTCAACTTTACTAAATTTATATAAAAAAGTGCTAACATTCATGATACAAAATAAGTATCATTGAATTCGTTATAGGATATATTTTCTTAATAAATTTATTTGGAGATATAAACATTAATACTATTTATTACAAGCTTGGTCAACCTTAAACTTGAAGTTTGACCGGTACGAATCCTATAGTTGACATGGCAGTTGGCATACAACAGTTGTTACCGACCGGGATGGTATACGGTTGGAGTGGCAGTGGCCAAACGGCAAACATGTAGCGTACTATTGCCAAATGCGTCTCCCTTGTCCGTGTTCGCGGCACATTTATGGGCGCTTCAAGCCTCCAAAACTCTCTCGCGCATACTGCAAAGGACACTCAAAGCGCACAACGAATATATACGAGCCCTGAAAAGTGCGAACCGTGTGCGTATTGCGTATATGTGAGTCAGTGGACTGGATTGCTGGTACTGCTAGCTACTTTCTTCCAAGCGTGCAGTTGAGATGCAGGTACACGAGACGACCGAGACGATGCGTCTGGTACAGCTAGCTCTCACACGTACGTACTGGTGGACACGCACGTCGATCAATTGCAGTCTGACGTCTCATTTTTTCGTGGAGTAGTATACACGTATATACATGGGTGATGGACATGTCACGGTCACGAGAACCTAAAAGGCTACCACGTACGACTAAACGGGTGTGTGCCGCCTGTTTGTTCCCGGTGTAGCACGAGTAAAAGCACCACTTGACCGAGGATTCGGTCACTTGAGTGAGCGACAGGGACGAGGGCGTACCAACCACGGGAAAAATGCGGAGGAAATAGGGAAGAGCTACTAGAGCGCGGGTAGGTTTGGAAGCCTCTGGCCACCAAACCTTATCTGCTCCGGCCTCCGAGGCTCCGATCCGGCCCAGCCCCCCGTCGGCGGGCGCATCACGCTACAGCAAAAGGCCGGCACTCATCGTGGACCGTGGACGCCGTACCAAAAGAATATGGCGCGCGGCGTACCACGCCGGAGGGCAACTGCTTGCACGCTTGGGCTGCGGTGGTACGGCCTTGGAGCACATGGTCATTTGGTTCATTTTGTCCACTCTTTTCTGTCGAACGTACGTACTAGTGCTTCAAACGCTACGGCTGGCCAATGAAGCGGTGCCTCGTAAGGTCAGGTCAGAAAAGGGTGCGTCGATAGAAGCGGAGTAAAATACGGCAATACGCCATGTGAACAATGTGGCGTGAGTCGTGACGAAGATGCGTGCCACGACGGCGAAGCTTGTAGAGCTAGTCGCGGCAATAGTTCGGACTGTTTGGCGGTGATTCTAAGTCAAGGAGTAGCTAGCTGGATGTAGTAAGTACGCGATGGCAGGTATCTCTGCTGGTCTTTAGGACCCAAGAGAATAGTACTACACGGTGCCTTTTCATCAACCGAGCGGATGCGATTGCTGTGGGCGGCCATGCAGTACGAGTAGTAGCGGGGACGGTGCGATAAATCCATGATCAGATCATGAGTGCACGAGGTTTTCATCTAGAACATGAGATGAGAGAGATGGACGAGTGTGGTGGGGTCCATGGCCGTTTGGCTTTGGCTTTTTTTTTCTTGGGCAATCCAGAACGCTGAGCAAAGAATTTGCAGCGGTTTTTATGAGAAAATTCATACTATACTCTGCTCGACGATGCCAAAACACTTGTAGAGGCCTACGTACATATTTTAACATGAAACCGTTCGATTTCATAAAAAACAATGAACTAATAAAAAATATAACGTTTGAATTTAT